AATTATCACGACCCCACAAGCTGCACTGCTTCAATACTTATCGTGTCTAAATAAAGGTTTTACTTACTTACAAAACTCCTTTTTGTCATACTCCCAAGACAAAAAAAATTATTTGTGAGAAAATCACTTTGGTTTGTATTGAACCATTTTTTATGCAGGACTGATATTCTTTTAATATAAAAATGATAAAGAAAGACATTTTCAATGCTCTAAGGTATCATATCTGATAATTAACGGCCGAATGTTATGATAATGTATTGATTAATTAACAGCTTACCCGCGGTCCCTTTAAACTGAATTTCTTTTTGGCTCCGAGTGGTTTGCCAGTTAAAGAGAAAGTGTTTTTGGAGTCGGGTTGGAAGAAGTCTTCAAGTTCTGTCCATCCACCCATTTTAAGCTGTTTCTTTGGTGGAAATGGCCCGCCGAGAGAAAATCACGGAACTGATTTATTGGTCATAGGCTATAAGCATGATATTTGCATGTCGAAAAGGGTCAACCCCTTATCGTCGTCATTCTATTTAAATCTGTTCAAGTCTATGTTCTCCACTTAACCGGGATCAAGCAAAAAAATCTACACTTTTATGAAAAGAATTTGGCCTGCTGGTATTTACAGATGAACCAGCCTAATGGAATACTGAATCTTCTTGCGTGATTGAATAGCTCTGAGGCTTGAAATTTATATTCAACGTTGGTTAAGAATTTGATTTGTTTACTAATGCGACTGTTCTGTCTTTTTCTTCTTATCCTTTTCTTCTTGACCAGAAACAAAAACGATGCATTGTTTTATTTCTTCACTAAAAGCTCTAGAACAGTTTGGATTCTTGTTAGAATCACAATCAGATAAACAGAGAGGTTAGTCTGATTCTGGAAATTCAAATTTATATTGAGTATTTTAAAGATCAAGATTTTCAAAAGGTTTTGGTTTAAGTTTCAAAAGCAATTTCCGAAAAAATGTGACAAGTACAAAATACTGAAAGGAAAAAATATTTTTGTAAGAATCGATCACTTTGTATTGCGGGGTGTACATACACGCGACCCCACGAAGTGAACCCAAAACCACATCCATTAGCAAGTCTGTGCTTGTCCTGAATATAAGCATTTGAACTTTCTTCCAAAAATATTGTGCACCTAAAGCTTCCACTCGACAAACTGCAACATCGGATCCAATGTCAAAGGACATGGCTCAGCTGTGCTTTGAGTAGCTTTTCCTTTGGCAAAGCTACTTCGCTTGGCATTAAGTAGATAAAAGTGATTGAGACGAAGACTGCCACACTCGGGAACCAAATGTTTGACAAACGTTCGGTGTTACACTGTCTAACCACTAATTGCAGTCATTGTGACACTTGCACGCTCATTTATCATTTCGCAAATAATAGTTTTTGCAAAAAACATTTTACTTTTGACATGTGCCACTTTGACATGTGCCACACGTCAAACTGAAAACAGATGATGTCAATGACATAGGTGATGCAGGCTTTTTGTTTGAGAGAACAGAATGTTGAAAATGCGGATAAACGCAAACTTGTCCGGACGTACCATACGGATCTGCACACTTCATTTTGGCATTGCTCGCTAATGTCTTCATTTTGGGCGCCACATTGTCTGGCCCATTGATAGAGAAAGAAAGGTTTGGTGTCTCGCTTGCGGTCGTCCACAGGTTTTAAACTCCGATTTATTTATTAATTTTTTTTTTGAGAAATTGAATGAAATTTATAAGAGTGGTACTGAAAATCGAAAATGCGTTTGATTCAGAGAAAGTTGCCGTTATGTCTGAAAACTTGAACTTTACAACCCGGAAGCTTACACTGGGATGTTATAAACTCCTTGCCTAAATAAATTTGGAACCCTGTGCACTTATTAAAGCTCTTATATGTAGCCTTACATTTCATCCCCACAATTGGCGGAAACATATCAGTCTGACGTAAGAACGAGGGACAAAATTTGAACAAGTTGCTGTGTGATTCGATGATTTCAACGTTTCCAGGAATTCTAACCATACGAAGTTAACGGATGCCGGATGTTATTCGTCTTGCGTAACTAGAGAAGAATAAGATCTGAATTCACATGGCGATACGAGCCCAGCCCTTTGGATGTCGCGCTCCAATGCCCCAGTATAGATGACTTTCATACGTCACGCGACCCCATAGCAACCGTAACTATGCCTCTATGAATACAACGTCACGACACATGCTGAAAATCGAGAAATAGACGATAAAGAGCCTAAATTTATTGCAGAAATAGATCCCTATTTTGAGTGCCAACTTTTTCTCTCGATCAATGAGTAAATGGCCAGAGATCGAGTTTCCTAAGGTGGTGAACCGCTTGCTCTTCTCAACAAGTAACTTTACGAAAGTAATGCAGGTAATGCAGGGCTAATGAACTACAAAAACAGCCCTCGTTGCTGGGAAACCGGTGTAGAATTTAATCCTCGCTTCAAAGAACTCTACGGTGAGTTTGATCTTTACTAGGTTCTATGACACGCGTTCTGACGGTATACCACTTGGATCAGCGATGTCGAGCCCGTCGTTTGAGTTGGTAGATTTAGAAAGATGGTACTATGAACAAGTTTTATCATTATTGTTCTGCGAAACTTCGTAGACAACGGACTGTTTGATAGACCAAAACCTCCCCAAATAGTGAGACGTCCTCTTAAAAAAGTGCTCAGCCATGAGTCCATCCGTGTTCTTCCTCGGAAGCCTGTTTAACTTTTATCTCTTCTGCATTTTTACTTTTTGGGCTTATTTAATTTTTTTTTCACAGGGCCTCACCTCTGCATTTCGACATTGTTATCGATTTAGACGTAATGAGAGCTACGTTGGCAAACGTTCGCACATGTGCATTAATTAAGTTCCTACTTGACACCCTTAATGTCAAGCAAATCATTGACAAACCTACAAGAACA